AATGAAAAAACAGTAGTGTGCCGTAGAAAGGACCAAGAGAGCAATTTATGTTTAGTCTCATTGGACACAAGGTGCGCCATTTATGCAGTTTAATCTACTAATTTATAAACTCATTGAGTCTCAAAAGTAAAATAAAGAAAAAAAAAATTTTAATAAATAATTTCGAAACATTTGCAGAGATCTTAATTTTGTCAATGTGTCAACAGATAAACGTTTCATCAGCAGGTACTTTTTCGTGTGTGGCTTGCAGAATCACCAGATTTCAATTTATGTAAGTTTTGATTTTGGGAATATTCGTCAGAGCTAATCGAAATAACAATTCGTCAACTTAACATGCTTCAAAAGAATCTTTTTCCTGATTCATGTTCAACATGCAAAATTTATGATACGAATTTTGTTCAACTGTAAGTCTGTTATCTTGTTATTTTAGACAGTAGCTGAAAATTCTGGTCACAGTAAAAATTGCGAAATTATTATGAAAGTGCTGTAAAGTAAAAAGTCACCACAGCAGCCAGTTGTTAGCCAAGGTGGTCATATAGATTAAGACTCCACAATTTTGAGACTAATGTGGTCAGCATTGCATATCCACAACCTTTACTTACTTTTTTTATGTTTAATTTTATAAATTTATTGCGTACTTCTCTTCTTAATCACATGGACAGGATATATCCTCTGGGTGATGAATATATGTTTATTTTATTTATTTTTGAACTTATCTATTTTCTGTTGTGTTTAGTAAAGTTTGTTTGCTTGTTGTTAAAAAAATAAGCTGGTACACACCAATCTGATGTTGGGTAGGCAGCTGCCACGAGAAATGGAACCCTGGTGCTACACATTAACAGCACAGCACATTAACCCTTTCGATACTGCACTTCCCTCCACTAAAGTGATGCCACTGAACGGTGCACCACATTGCATGTTAAGATTTCTTATTGTATTTTACTTTTGTAGCTAGAAAATACTACACTCCTAAATATAACGCACAGAAATAATTTGTTTCGACTTACAAAACTTATCAAGAGCTTTCAAAATATACTTTTAGTTGTATTTATCTAACATAGGTAAATGGAATATTAGCTAATGGTAGTCTGACGTCGGCTAAGTACAGCGTTCGTACACTCAGGGCATCGCATGTATGCCGGTTAAATACGGCGCTCGTAGCGAAAGGATTAACCACTGTGCTATAGCGGCTTGATATAAGTGCTGCTAAATGTTGCCAAGCGATTACCAAAGTGGTGAAATTTTGAACTGGCTTTTTTTGCGCTGAAAAAAATAGTATCACTGGATTAAGATATCCCCAAAGCATTATAATTTTCAAATCGCTTGTTTTAGCTGAACATAATTTTAATAATGCTCTGTGACATAAATTTTTATTTTGAGCACAGTTCTTTCAAAACATTCTTAAATTTTATTCCTTTTTAGGGTATGAAATTTGTTCTATTTATTTAGAAATATATTTCATTAGTAGACAGTAAAGAAAAATGAGCTTGGAAGACACTGGCCGGATGTGAAATGTTAACATCATATAGACTCTGTTCAAAACATATATATAGTTCAAAAGTACATTTAACAACAAGTTAAGGGATGCCTAATCTAGTTACATGATAAAAAATTAATTACTAATTCCAACTGAGAACAAACATATACTAATTATATTAATATCGGTTACAAGTAAACTGACATTATTTCATTTAATGAAGAAGACAATCTTCTTTTCAACCCTGGAAGACAAATTTCGAAAATCAAAATATTAATAAAAATAATTTGTAAGCATTTGTAAGGTAAGAAAATTAGGAATACGACATCAGAACAGTTTATTTGTCCTTAACAATCTTAAGTTAATAAATAGGAAAATTTAAATGTGGAATTTTGAATAGTTAAAATTTCAAGCAAATTAATTATGTGTTAGCATGCCATATCTGAAATAAATCATCATTATAAATTTATAATTTTGCTCAGTTAAAACGTTGAGTTTTTCGTTAATTTTTGGTGTACTAATTCTTTCAATTATTTTTTTTATGTCTTTTGTTATTTTTTAGTTTATTAGGTTGTTTTAGTTCAGTTGCATTTTTTCAGTTTTAGTTCTTTAATTTTTAGTGTATTACTTATTTTAATTATTTTTTTAACCTCAAGTTAATTTCCAGTTTATTTGGTTATTTTACTTTATTTTGAGTTTCTTCAGTTTACATAGTTATTTTCTCGAAAACTCAGTCTGTTTGTTTGAAGCCTATTTAGAAATTCTATTGAGCTCTACCGGGGTTGATTGAAAACTTCTAATAAAAAAATGCCAGTTCATTCATAATCATCTAATAGATATTGCAATCATACTCGATATCTTTTTATTATTCTGTAATAGGAATTTTGCAATGAATGTTGTTTCGACGTTTATGTTATTTTTCGTATTTTCTACAGGAAGACGTCCCGGAAAAAATAGTTGTTTCCTTTTTAAATAATAAAGGATGTTCTTATCTCTATCATATCTTTTTCATTCCAGTTCATCATACATTCCTTTGCTTATCAGTATTATTATAATAAACATTTATAACTTACAAATGTCAATGGAAATTTCTTAGAACTCAAAATGTATTATGCCTCTTATTATTTCATTTTTCCCTTTATAAAACGAAGATAATTATCAAAATTTTGGTGGTTTTATGGAAATTTTATTTATTAAAGAGTAAAATTTTAACTATTGCACCTCATGATGATCATAACTTTAATTATTTATAATAAAATAAAAATAAAAAAATATTTAAATCCATAAAAATAAGTTCTGCACTTGCCCAAGTTCACATCTTTATATCACATAATATAAATCAGATGAGTTATTTTTGAACTATAAATTCTGTAATTTTAATTATCAAAACGTTTCACAACTATTGTTTCGTATTTAAAAATTATAAAATTAATTTATTTTATGGGTCATTGTTTTGACTTTTGTTTTTTACACTGAGAAAAAAATTATGGCCAAGAATAACGATATGGCAAAATTTACAGTGTTTCTGGCTCTATAGGGAACACCAAAATTTCCGTAATTTTTATCGAAACTCTTTGATAATGATTTTGGTAAAATTTGCGTTTATAATCTGGGAAAAGTTTTTGTAAATCTTGCAAAATTTGGTAATTTTATAATGATACCTTAGGATAGGCCATAAAAACAGTTTATTCGGTTAAATTTACTTTTCAGTTTTGCATTTTTTACTTAATGTGTGGTAATACGAACTATAGTTTTAAAAACCGGAATTTCTGGTAAACCCTTATTATATGAACAGAAAAATGACCAAATAAAATGTCTTATATTTTTGTTTTAATAGCAAAAATGATTTTTTTGTTATTTTTTACACCAGATATGCCATTATCATAAAGTAAGATAATTTCATCAGAATTTTTCTTCTTCGTGTAAATTAAAAAGAAATAGCCATTGAATATGAATAGCCATTGAATATAAATAGCGATTGAAGGAATAGCCAAAAAAAATAGAACCTTAATTTCCAAATATTTTAAATAAATGAATATATTTATTTATCCTTCTTTTGCATCGCAAATATTTTAATTTTAAAAACCAGAATTTCTGGTAAACCTTATTATAGGAGCAGAAAAATGACCAAATGTATGATTTAAATACCGTATAATTTTGTTTTAATAACCAAAATGATTTTTTTTGTTATTTTTTTATACCAGAAATCTCAATATTATGAAGTACAGTAATTTTATCAGAATTTTTTTCTTCGTGAAAATTGAAAAGAAATAGTCATTGAATATGAATAGCCATTGAAAAAATTAGCCAAAAAAGAGAGCCTTAATTTCCAAATATTTTAAATAAATAAATATGTTAATTTATCCTTCGTTTGCATCGTAAATATTTTTGCAAGTAGTACTTAATTTTTTTTTCAACAATTTTTTTTAATCTTTATTGTAAATGTATTAATTTCCATACATTTTCTAGTCATTATTTGATATCTTAAGTTGTCTCGTGTTGATCGTTTTTCCGTATCTATCATTTGTAATGAATGGTCCCTTGAGAATTGATCGATCTAGGTTCTGCGGTATTTGCAAATATGGCGAAGGTTTTGAGTTATCGTAAAAAAAAAATTATGCAATATTTGTTTTACTAATACACTAATTTTATTTTCCTATTTGGTAAGTTCAAACAATAAATTATAAACAAAGCTTGTGAAATCTGAAACGTTTTCTTATAGCTTTAACGATATTTCTATTGATACCATCAGAATAAGAAAGAAGATATCGAGAGCTGATTGCATATATACAGAGTTTTCGTGGCTATGGAAAATAAAAAATAAAAAAGCGGTGACAAAATTGTTTAATTTTCAGCTGATTTTGGAGAAAAATAACACATTCGTGACTACCAAAGACTAAAAATTCAGAAGATATGCATGAGTTTATAAAATCAAAGCTGAAGCTCATTTAAATTCTGCTGCCACTTTTTACACTTTTCCATGACCATGAAAACTCTGTATTAATATAAATATATAATTTACTAGGCTTTTCCTTAACATTGGTTTAAATATTTGATAGTATTATATATATGCATATATATATATAACTATCTAAAATATTTTTTTCTGATTTGCAGAGATCTTTCCACATTTATATCTAAACATTCTATTTATGTGGAAAAAGACCCCATCTGAAATAATATTTCCTATCTATGAATGAAATTTAACATATATTTGGAATATTTTAAGCATTTCTTTGGAAAAATAATATTTTTCCAAGCTATTTCAAAAGAAAATATAAAAAACGGAAGTAGCCTATTACGTTTCAGAATGACATAAAATAGAAATCTTCAACATCTTTCTAAGAAATCGCTTAGAAAATTCACTTTCTTGCGTCATAGATGATGATCTTTACATTAAATTGAAGCACATTTATGAACGTCGTCTTCAGAGATATGAACGGTCTAATACTGCGATCCATCCTCAAAAAAAAAAAAAAAAAAAAAAAAAAAAAAAAAAAAAAAAAAAAAAAAGGAAAAATGTGATCCAGCTCAGTCATTAATGTCAACAGAAAAAGAGGACGGGTCTTAATGTATAGCTCACAGTTTAGACAGAGTAATTAGAGAACTGTGTCCAGCAGATTTAGAGACTTGGTAATATTTTCATCCTAAAAAGATACAAAGTTTTCTTTAAATAATCATGTATTTTAAAACTTTTTGTTTTGTTATTTTAAAACGTTAAGTTTTTATAGACAATATTAAACATATTTAATTTTTTAACCATTCTAAATGGTATCCCAAAATTTAGGCAAAAATTGAATTTTAGGTCAGTTATGCAATAAAATATTGCCATTGAACCGATGAAACAGCGGAATGACTGACTGTTCTACAGTGTCTGAAATTTCTCGGAAAAAGTGGTTAAATAACAATTTATTGAATGGTTATTTTACCATATTTAATCTAAACAGTCAAATAACCATAAATAAAATGGTAATCAAATTGTTAAGTTTGAGAAAAACTGTTTATTAACTGCTTTCACCTAAACAACCGGTAAAACAACCAGAATTTTATCGCACCAACTAGAACCACCTAATGAAGTTACTTAGTTCTTTGCAACAGCGTACAGATCTTAGCTGAGAGGGCTTATCTGTCAATCTCATGACCGGCAGAACTGGAGTTCCAGTCCTAGTGCTGACACCAAAATATTTCCTCCATTCCTTTACAGTGTCCGGCACTCTCTAATGCCCATTGCCTTACGAAAAGCAGAGCTCCTATGTCTATGACTATATATATTGGTTGGATCACCTTGAAACATAATTAAGTACCTGTCTTATTTCCAACTGATTAGTTTGGTTTTATTATTTTTCTCTTTCCATCTTCTTTTCTTCCCCAAACTTTAAATTTTTAACTTTAACGTTAAAACTTTAAGTTCGCAGTTTTGTAGATCTCCATTTTGCATATAAAGCAATCCGATAATACAGATAAATTGGATTATATTTGCTACTACTTTTTCTCAGGGCAATCGGGGTTATTGGTTGTTCGTGGTATTTTGCTCCGATCGCATATATTGTTCTTGCACTGACGGCATGATACTATCCCTCTGAAGACGCTGCCTTGTTGTCAGTGTTTTTCATATATATATATATATANTTTTCAGCCCTAGAAATTTTTTGTTCCCAGCAATTGATGACCAAAAGTCAGACAAAAGGGTGTTTTTGTGGACATCCGATATTTCAGAAGTAAAGACAAAAGAGCCCAAGGCAATTTAAAGAAGTTACAAATATTTTCCCACCGAATGTGGGAGGCGGCAACTTCACAACTCTGTGGGTGGTAGCTACGAAAGCAGGGTTATTTTCACAATTATTTTATATTTGTAAATACTTCGATTTTATATATATATATATATATATATATATATGTATATACATATATGTATATATATATATATAAAAGAAAAGATATGAAATCATTAAATTTTGTTGTACTAGTCATCTTCGATTTTTTAAGTCAAGTCCTACGAACATAGATACTTATACATAGGATAAATCTGAGGCAATAGATAGCGGTATTCGGTATTCAGAATATATTAATCTTTAAGCTGATATTGATGAACATTTCATTCAACTCAAAAGTATCTTGGGAGTTAAAGAGTTTGACGACAACTCGCGATGAGTAATTTCGGACCAAGAAATGAAATTTGCATTGTCGATCTCCAAGGTATATAATCTTTAGAAGATTAAATAATAGGGCAGTTTGCAAATGTGTATTTAAATGGTCACACATCTCAAAAAGAAAGTTAAAAGTAAACTTGGAACAATCGGTGTTATTTAATTCGTGAAATATTTTTGTTTTTTTTGATTTATGAGCTAACACTAAGTTGTTAGTTATAAATAGTATACTTACATGTAGACACGTTTCTAGAAATTCGTCGAAAGTGACAATGCCATCTTTATTTAAGTCAAGTCGCTGAAAAAAAATGCCTATTAATGTTAATTTAAAAAACAATACCAAATTTTAAAATAATAATAATATAATAATAATAATAATAACAATAATAATAATAATATAAGAATAATATTATAATTTTCTAATAAGATTTAAAAACGTGAACTATTTTTAATTCTCTAACACTCTAAGCGTAAAAGCATGATATATCGATTAGTACAAAATATACTGGCGAAACATTTGAAAATAGTTACAGAAAGAACTTTTAAATAATTGTAAAAATTTTAAAGCAATTTAGTTCTAACGAGTAATTTTTATTTTAAGTCCAATCATAATAATAATTTTTAAAAAAAAACGATTTCTAAAAACATATTGTTTCCCCGACAATTGTATAGTTTCTTAAAATCGCTATTTTTTATTTACTTTTATTTTTTATTTTGCAACCTTCGTTGAACAGTAGACCCAATTTTGAGTTTATGACGAACAATCTTCAACTCATAAGCTCTCTATCATAACTCGAGGAAGTCGAAAACTTACTCCACTGCTCTTGAAGCTGAAAACCGAAATTTCATCACATGAAAACCGATTGTATTGCATTAATTAATTCAAACTTTTTTATCCGACATTAATATCAGAAAAAGCATAAATTTAAAAAATTTGATTTTGTTGCACTTGATTTTTTTTAGAAATTACATTTATTACATAAAATTGATTGAATGGTTCAATGGAAATAAAAACAATTTCTCAAAAGCATCTTTTTTAAATTTCGCATTCAAAATTACTTTTTTATTAAAAGAATTCACTTCTGTTACTTTTTTCTTAATTAACGATAGAAATTTTAAAAAATAAAATTTCTTTCTTTCCTTTCGAAACCTTTTTATTTTCATTGATTAATTTAATAAATTTTATGTAATAAACCTAATTCCTAGGAAAATTAAGAAATATAATCGACATTTTAAATCAAAAAAAGTTCTAAGAAATAGAAAAATACAACAGAATCTCCAAAAACTTTTTTTAAAAAAAAAAAAAAAAAAAAAAAATAGACTTTAATGTAGTTTAGTGAAGATAAAGTTTTAACCATAAAACGAGATCAGGAAAATATCCAAAAATTTCTTTTTAAACCTGATTTACTGCAAACTAATACCTGATATATTTATAACCTACTTTGCATTGTACAGTAAAAAGTAAATCGAGATCGAATATTGAAAAGGTTCTAATTCGAAATCCAATGCGATGGCAGTCAAGCATATATTTGAAATTGGAAAAGGCTTTTTATTTTGAATATTCCATTGACATGCTCATTCTCAATGAGCGGATCAATATTCTTTTACAATACGATCTTTTTTAAAAATCTAGTGAGCATTTTTAATGCAAATCGATATAAAGAGTTTTGATGTGCTTATGGTTATAAGCATACTTAGTCAAAATATATTTTGCTCAACAATATGTTAAAGTAGGAAAGAATATTTCAGAAAATATCAATTCTTGTTATATTTTTGAAAAAGTCATTTTTATATTGTATACTTTTCTGTAGTAGCTTATTTTGACCTTGCTTGCGTGGTAAAATTAACTTAAAAATTGAAAAGAGTATAATTAGATGTAATGATCTGTGAAAAATATTTGATTAGTCACGAAAGATTAATTTCGTTAATGCCGATTCTCTATTTTTCATTAATATTTAACATCTTGAAATCATTCTTATTTTTTTTCATTTCATTTAAAAAAAGTATGTTTCGTTACACCTGAAAGCAAAAGGCAAAGCTGAAATTGACTTTTAAAATTCAAAATTCTGCGAGATTTCAAAATATTAATTATTGTTAAAATATTTTCTGAGTTTAAACAAATTGATTAGTAAATAATTAAACAAAGTAACATTCTTTTTTCTTGACTAGGCAAACCTGCAATGAAATTTGCGGGCAACCCTGTATTTTTATGGTCATGATAATTTTAAGGTTAATGATTGGAATACTTTTTGCCAATCACTGAACGTAATGCAGCAGTGACATTTTTTAGAATGTACTTGCTATTATACATAAAACTTTAAAAGAATAATGCTTAAAAATAATTTAACACTTTGGGTTTTACGTTAAGCATTAAGGGATTGAACATCAGTGCACTTAATCTGTAGCCTGTGAAATAACCAGCAAAAATTCATGAACAGAAACTATTTTTTATGTAATTCGGAAACAAAGCTATCCTGATATTATTATCAGATACAAATCTTTCATCAACAAAGAGACGTTAAACTGATATTTGGCTAACAACGGATGTACTCAAAGACAATAGACTGAAAAATGATTCAGTTAGTTACTTTGTTGTTGTTGTTTCTAATCCTTTACAACATAGCCTCAGCTATATCAAATTCATGAGTCCTAACGCCCTGGCAAAAGTCACACACTAAAATCAAAATCGGTAGCAAGAGAATGCCTTCCAAGGAAAATTCCAGACAACCAAAGGATGTGTTCGGGGGATGCAGGTTTCAATTTGCACTTGCAACACGTTGGGCAGACTTTGCACCCAAATTTCATAGTTAAACTTTTTAGAGGGACACTGATGAATCGTGAAGTTACCGTTTGATCCGATCTGCTTCCTTTGAACTTCTGAGCATCTCCAAACCAATGATGAACAGGAGGGTTAACTCCTGTAACTGCTGTAGTTTTTCGCCAGTAACTTAGTGATTTGGTTATAATGGTTCAGTAATTCAATGATTCAGTTAGTATTTTGGTTTAATTAGCTAGTCAGCCACCTATTTTGTCATTTAGCGACTCCATTGATACTTTAGTACATTTGGTGATTTCGGTTTTCAGTTAGTGATTTATTGATTCATTTAGTATTTCTGATATGATTTATTTAATGAGTTCGGTTAACGACAAATTATAGCTAATTAGCTGTCGTCACTAAATAAATGTTTAAGCTACAATGAGTATTAGACTGTCTTAATTGTTATTGTACTAAAATCTAGGTAAGCCATTTGCCGTATTGATCGGTTTCAAGAAGATAATAGATTACATTGTTTTGAATTTACTGACGTTTGTACAGCTCCAAGCTTGCAAATTAAATGACGATTGTTAAAATTTTAAGTCATTATATCTAAGAAGCTTCTGCTATCTAAACACTTTAAAAATCATAATTATTTAATAATAAAAGGTACCAAAAATGCATAAATCAAAAAATGAGTTTAAGACTGTAATAAGAGTATGTTGTTTTGAATTTACTGATGTTTGTGCGGTTCCATGCAAAATAGAACTTTTGATTTTTAAACACTTTTAATTCTTTCATCTTTTGATCAATTTGTAAATCTTGATCAAAAGACTTAAGCGTTTGAGTCTTTTGATAGGTATGAAAGATAATACAGAATACTATATTTTTAGTCATTTACAACGAAATTCAATTCAAGTACAATTTCCTTAAACTATATGGAGTGGAAGATTGTAAAATGTTTTAAAATTTTTAAATAGTCATCGTAACTTCCATTAAGAACTTAGAGAACAACGTTCAGAGAATTCAATAAAAGTGTCACACCGAGGGGGGGAGAGGTGTAATTTTTTGCGTACGGGGGAAAAGTTTCGTTAATGAAGTACCATTTTTAAAATTAAGATTGTGAAATAATGAATATTATGAAGCTCATTATTATATCTAATGTACGTGTCAAGAGTCTTGGGGTTAGGGATCAGATTTAAATTTAGATTTAGTCAGATTTAGAAACCTCTAAAGTACCGCAGTGTTATCTCAAAAGATAAAAATGTTTACAAATCTACAAAATGTTTCTAATGTGATAGTACCAAATAAATAAATAAATACGCATGCTTTTATTGCTATAATCTTTGATCAAAGTTATTTGTAGACAATCTTATAACAAAAATAACAAAAGAATATATAAAACTTAAAAAAGATCTCCCTTGGACTAAATTTAGTACACTTCAATAACAATCATCAAAGTTCAAAAAAAATTTTTTTCCATGCACGCACCATAGCTTATACATAGCCTTTTTTTTGTCACTGTCATTTTCCCACCACCTTTAATTGTGTTTTTATTTTCTTTACCATCCTCTGTGGATGGAGTAGAAGTGTCGCATATTCGGGAACTATCGCAAATTAGGCACTTTTCTTCGAATTAAATTAACACGCATTTTGCAGATTTTGGTTCTAACTATATAATTAAAAGGTACTGCTTAACTATATAGACAGGTGCTCCACAATTACCATTTTATTTTAAAACATATGAATAAATAAATCATCCTCATCATTATCATTTGCATGACGGCCTGAGAGGGGACCTGACCTTCTCGAGGTCTCTCTTCCATCCTGACCTGTTCTCAACAACGGTTCTCCAGTGTTCACAGTTCTTATTTACAGAGTCAGACTATCTGAGTATGGGGTTTTCCCTTTGATTGATTCCCAAATGACCTAATCATTAGATGTACATTCATCTGGTGACTGCATTAGATGGTCAACTCATTTCAACCTTGGAATTTTGATAGATTTAGTAAAGTTTTGTTCTTTATAAAGGCGGTAAAGTTGGTAGTAAATGAATAAATGAGTGAACAAATAAATAAATAAATGAATAAACTAAATGAATAAACAAAAACAAAACAAAAAAAAGAAAAAAACTGAATGAATAAAGTCCTGGATAGCCTGGTAGGTAGGGCACTGGGCCAATATCTAAGAGATCGTGGGTTCGATCCCTGCCGGCCGAAAACTCCCCGTGTAGTGAATGGGGACTGATGCACGTTAAATCTGTCGAGTTGCAAAGTCCTCCATGTTCCCATAACAAATCAATACCTCTGGGGGTATTGATCCAGGAGTTTCCTTGTCTTCTGGATTTGGTTCAAAATTACAAGTCTACGGAGTTGAACATTAGTAGTCGTAAACCCAAAAATTGGATCGGCTGTTCAAAGACGGTTATAAAATAAAATAAAATGAATTAACTAAATGAATAAACTAAATTAATAGGCAAACAAATAAATAAATTAATAAACTAACTGAATAAATAAATAAATATTTAAATAAAATGAGCAAAA